GGGGCCGCATTAGGTGTGCAAGCCAGGCCAGGTGTAAACAGGTTAGTTAATGACTGAATGGACAGGCACAGGAATGCGAGCAGAGTGTGTCCGAGTATCGGGTCTATTAATAAAGGCGCTGGCCGTCTTGTCACATGAGACTGGGCTTGAACAAACAGCAAAATGCTGCTCATGTCATTGCTGATGCAATTGTTTTTTTTTTTGCCAGCCAGTGGAAGCGTTTCCAATTGCAATTCCGATTTCGATTCCAATTCCAATTCCAAAAAGGAAATGCGAGCGAGAACAGAACAGAAGCGCTGCATATCTTGCAGATACGCAAACAGACGTCAAAGCTTCAGGTTGTCGCCATGCATTTGTTTCTCCGTCGACCACTTGACACTTTGGCTAATGACAACGCCCGCTAAAACGGTAGCCAGCACATGTAGATACATTTGTATCTTGGCAGCGCATGTAGATACATTTTGCACTCGCACAGGTATGAAAACCCGAAAGCAGTTCAACGACACCCGCGACCAGTTTTGATTTCAATTCCGAATGAGAGCATAAGATGCGAAAGGGAATTAATTATTCCAAATTGGTGATTTATGGATCAAGACATTAACAGTGGCACCACTCACTACTGAGGGTGCAGGCAGCGGCTAATAATTGCCTTGGAATTTCGCTCATGATATCGAAACTTACGGATCCAATTGTTTGCTCAACCGGTTCGCCAGCTAGGCAAATGAGGGAGGTGAGGGTGCTTATAAACAATTGCCAGCTGCTTACGCAAATAATAATTACACATAAACAAAATATGAACATAAAGAGAGTGGCCCAAATGCACAGACAAGTGGCAAGTGAAGTGTCCTGCCTTTGGGGCATTTTGAGAATTTGTACAGTTTTCCCGCACTTTTCCCTTTCATCTGGTTAGCAAGTGCTTACCCCCGGATCAGCTGTTTGGCGGCATTAATGTAGCAAATTGGTTAAACACACCGTCAGACATATCGTTTACATGCCATGCACACGCGATGTATCCGCCAAATTGTCGTGTGTAGATACATTTGTATCTCGCGTTGGCCATTGTTGCGCCGTCTGAGTGGGTTTATTTATATCGTGCTGCTCTTGTTTCTGCTCTGTCTCTCCGTTGTGTGTTTCTGATTCAGTTGCATGTTGTCTCCCCTGCTTGTTCGCATTTCATTTGGCTTGGCCCCATAACGTGTCCGCACCCAGAGAGCGTTGTGTGTATCTGTGAGATACACTTGCTACTGCCTGTTCTGCAACGAAATCGAAAGTGCAATTTCACGTGTTCAAAATTCAATAGAAGTTATCCAAGGTTGTGTATGAATTTCTCAGTGGGATCCCTAAGGTTTCCATAGATTTTCCTCCTAGGTTTCCATGTAATTTGAAATATCTCGATTTACAGAAGAGCACTCTATCTTTACCAGGAAATGCAATAACCTTTGGGCTCTTGTTCACCTCAAACGAATCGTTGTCAGATTGTGAAGGTACAATTCTTGGGATTTCCCAATCATAAAACCGAATCCTCGAGATTAGCTCCATCGAGTGGGCCATAAATCAATGTCGGCTGACAGTTTGGCCAACTCGATTGGCTTTCCAAAGTTTTGCTTCAAGGCAATCATATTTCCTTGCCCCTGGAACTTCCTGTGATGCTGCAATCTATATTTCGCCACTGCGTATAAACATAGACTATGGAAAGTTTTCACACTTGGGCAAATCAAAAGTTTATCAGTATTTCCACTGGACCTTGCCATGCACTGCAAATTGCAGCTGCAGCCGCAGTTGGCCTCGTCATGATGTGTGTTTTTTTTTCTGTTTTTAAATAGACCCTTGTTTGCCACACTCGGAATACTGAGTACCAGACGATCCGTAACCCCCTCAGAGTGTTATTTATAAGTCCATGCTCTCGTGCCACTGGCTAGAGCATTATCAGTCGCAACTCCGCTTATCACGTGCTGTAGTTTTCCGTTCCTGCGGGGTTTTGCATGGAAAGTTTTGATTTACTGACACAGTGCTGTCGATTTTCCAAAGAACTGTGATGGAAGATGCGCCATTAGCTTGAGAGCTATAGTGAAATATTATTAAGTATTTAGTTTTACTCCCCAAATAACTTAATGTACAAATGCTTATACTAGATCCAGACCCATGACCAGTTTATTCGCCTGACTTGCCATGACATTGACACAGTAAGACTTTGAATTTGGACTTTGGTTTAGGTAGGTTTTTATATATTCATTTATTTATGCACACATTGCACAATTGATCAGGCGACAAGCTAATAAATAAACGACTCTTCAGTGGGCTATAGATATGGATGGAAGGGACGGGACCCCACCTTCGCGGCTCAATGGTGACCAAGACCTAGACCTAGACCCGTGACTTACTCTACGTGCCTGTTCCAGCGAGCTTGAACTCCAGACCAAGTCGAACGAACCTGCGGTGTAAGCACCTTGAGTTCGACCGGTTGTGGTCAGTTTCGACTCGAATTCCCGCTCGACTCGACAAGGTTGGCTCTTTTCCATCATCCACTCCCATTATATGGCAAAATCGTATATTCAAATTGCTCTCTTCCTATATGCTCGCCCCGATAAGGCGTCGCGTATTATTATTTACGCTGCGATCCGGAGTCAAGTGTTTGCGCACAAACTCTGCAGCAAATCGGCAAACAGCTCCTCGAGAGATAATGCCAGGGACACATGTAAGTAGGAGAGCTGTCAAGTGCCAATCCACTTGGGTGATCTAATCTTCGGGGATTCAAGACGTTGTCTAATTTTTTAACACGAAAATTATCATTTATATCAAGGGCTTTTGTGATTTAATTTACTGGTAGGGTTTGGTGAGGTTTTAAATGAATAAAATGAATAAATGCAGAGAGTGATTCTATTAAATTCTTCAAAATATTTTAGATACAAAAATATAGTTTGAACTACTTTCCTAATTTAATTTCAAAGAACTCAAAAACGAAGGAAAACATTTTTAATAGAAGAAAAACTTGTAATTTTAATATCTTTATTTATATCACCAAAACTATTTCAATTTATATGTTTATATTAACAATTTTTACAAACCAAAAATACCTACAAAGATTTAGTAAAATATCCCAGAGAAATCTTAGGATTTATTTTACAAAACATTCATTTCAATACTTTTCAATATGAACCCTATATTCGTTTATTAATAAAAACCGTACCCATTTTCAATTAGAAAAAATAACTAAATAGAATTTTTCCTGGGGTGCACAACTAAACGTGAATAACAAGCCGCATCATTTGTCGCGTGGGGTCTAATGACCCATTCCAATTAGCCCTCTGACGATTAGCCGGTAACATTAACTATAATTTGGCCGGGGCCGGGTGAGAATTGAATTTACACACAGACACACACACACACTCGACTCGATCTGGCGTTAAATTGTAGCGTCTGACGGTTTACAGAAACATATGCAATATCACGCCCCTTAAATGCCTGTCAGCCGTCTATTGTTCCCGCCAGAATCGTGTGATAGCGGCAGTTGTAAGCCAACTCAAGCTAAACTTTAGCCACTTTCGATTTCGATTTCACAGAGAGGAAGGTGGGGTGTATCCCGTGTCAGACTCCCTTCCCATTCTAGTCAGTCATCATCGTCATCATTGTGCTGGTTTCTGTAATAACCCCATGCTGTACGGCCCGCGGTACTTGTTGTCGTAGGTTATGGCCCATTGTTAGGCGTCCAAATGATGTCATGAAGTTTTTTTTTTCAGTTAATTTGCATTATTAACTGCTTTTGTTTGCTGCTACAACTACATACCTCCGCCCGGACGGGCAATGGAGTGTGTAATTCGGGGGCTGTAAGTACGGATATTATTGGGGGAATTTGCAGGCAAGAAAGCTGGTTGAAAGTAAGAGGATTGCCTGCCGCCAAATCCAGCTCAGTTGTTAATGAAACCTTTAAAAGTTTGAATAGCCCTTTCTGGGCATTTGAACAGCTAATAAGCCTACTCATTTTACTCATTAAGTAAATACCTTAAAGAGCAATGATTTCGATCTAACAGATGTTTATAGAATCTTTGATTTAATTAATTGATGTTGCCTTATTAGAGCTTTATAAATGGCCCAATTCCAAGTGTTTACTTGTAATAGTATGCCGCCTTTGTACTCACTTGATTTAATGAATATAAATGAATATTTATTAGGGAAATTAGCACCTTAGCACAAGTATTATTCAGTAGCAGTCTCTGTCTACATATTGTTACCTCATATCTGACTCTGTGTTCGATTGTATTAAACCTAATGATCTCAAGCCCTTAATGAGTTTGTATTTTACATTTTTATTAAACAGGTTAGTTACCTCTAAGAATATATAACAACCTAAAGTATTTGCTCTATGTGAATATTTAAAATCTAATTTGCATCTGTAGTGCTTGATCCCATTAATAATTTTAAACTATAAACTATAGTTGTTTTCAACCATTATGGGTAGTTCTCATTGCTATATCAACAAACAGATCTCTTATTTTCGGGGTTCTCTTTAAAATAACATCTCGTCGAATGGCAAATCTAATGAATATTAATTCTCAACGACAAATTCACACCGTGTTTACACAACGATCCACTGTTTACTCGCCGGAGTCACTTCATCTCTGACACCGGGTGCTAGTGCAATTCATTCCCCTAATGGTAATCCCAGCCCTGATCCCCTGCCAAAGCCCCGGGTGATGGATAGTGCTTTGTACCGATGCACTTAGGTATTCCAGTGTTTGCTATTTGGTGTCATTATTGTCGTTGTTGGAGGAGGGGAATAACTACGACAACTACGACAGCGTTCCGCTCGACCGACAACGGCCTGCTAATTACCACGCTAATGTCGGTTCAATGGAGTTCATTGAAAGTAAAAGTTTCGCAACCGCAGCGGCAGAAACAGAGAGAAAGAGAGGGACTGGGTTTTGTTAGTAATTGGAGCGCAGCAATTAGCAGCCGAAAAAGCATGCTTTCGACCGATAATTAATCGGGTGGACTACTTGCAGCGCCCAACGGTGAGCAGCAGTTTAGCAGCAGTCCAGCAGTCCGAGCAGAAGTCACCAGCAGCCAGCAGCTGGTCGTAACCCCCAATTCATCATCCATCCGACGGAGCAAAGCCAATCGCCAGGATGAGCATCATTGACAACGGCAAGTACCGTTTGCGCAAGGATTGGGCCAGTGCCTCCATCCCATCGCTGGTCAATATTGATGAGCACGATGGCGACTCTGGGGACACGGAGAGCAGCCTGAATGCCACGGCCCCGTTGCCGCCACAGAAGCCTCCGAGGCGCAGCTCCCTAGCTCTGGGACTCTTCTCCAGCAAATCGGACAAGAGCCAGAAGCGTCGCAGCTCGATTGCTGTGTCCTTTCTGCGCCGTGATAGTAGTAAGGTGAGTTAAGTCCTAATTATATTTATTTCAACCCATCTCCTTTGTGCATTTTCCCCCTATTGAACCCTATAAATCATTATCCTTGCAGAACTCCACCAAAGACTCGTATGAATCAGCTGTCCGCAGCGAGAAATCCGATGGCTCTGGCACTCCCACCAGTCCCGATATCGTTTACAGCTCGGAGGAGAATATCCGGGCTAGTTCACCCAATGAGCCAGGCAAACAGACCTTCTTTGAGGATGGCAGCCAGTCGCCTCGCCCGGTGCTTCAGGGATTGAACACCTCGTACGAGGGACCCACAAATGATCGCCAGCGGCGCAGGCGCAGTTCGCTGCAGACCAAGCTGGACAGGCATCGGCGCAAGAAGATGGAGTATATCAACCAGCGAAGTCTGGACTCTGGAATGATGTGCAGTGAGTCGCAGAGCGATTTGACCGAAAGCTCCAGCAGCTATGCCAATGGCAATGGAAATGGAAATGGAAATGAAAATGACGATGAGGACGACAGCATTGATCCCAGCCACGGGGAATACTTTCCGCGTGAGAAGCGCCACTCCTGGTGGAATATATTTGTGCCCGATAATTTCAAGAACAGGTTCGCCACTCTACTTCTCCTCCAACTCCTCCTCCTCGTGCGTTAACTCTAACTGTCTGCGTGTTTAACAAGCGCCTTGCCAAGTGACTAAAATGCATCGATTGCGTAGGAGATCCTTTTGTCAAACCGAAACCCCACCCTTTACTCCTGCGCTGCCAATGTTGAACTAACACCCGTCGAATATGTGATTAATTGCCGGCATGAAACACTCCCACACCCCGTATAAACCACACACACTCTCAGATACATTTCCGGCTACCCCCTCAGAGCCAACCCGGCGGCTGCTTAATTTATGCGATGCCTCCGGGAGACACTTCTCCCAAGGAGCCGCCTCGCAGCTGGTTTATTGCCTCGACTGCCAATTAAGCATATCGATTCACGCACTAACCGAAAGTCATTCATCACCGTCGCGGGCTCTCTTATTAAGGAGCTCTCTGATCTGTATTTTTTGCCATCTCGTTAACCTGCTCTGATTGAACTATAGAAGCCAATCCAAGTCATCTTGGGGCTTTTCCTCTGTTTTCCATATAAAACGGACTATATTGAGGGGGTCTCAGTGATTAACAAATGACCAAGTCTCAGTTTTAGTTACTTGTTTGAATCTAAATTGGTGGCAACAAAAGCTTTTAGCTTGGAAAGTTGAATTGTATATCAATTTATGTTAATTTTTGGGAAATATTAGAAGGGAAACCTTTGAAAATCTTTAGAGAACGGTTAAAAGAAGCTATAAAGATGGGTTTTAAATGTTATATATTAGTATCTCTTATTATTTCCTGTTTAAATGAGACAAATTGAAGCTTGCTTAAAATTATTTATCTTTACCTTTTCCTATAACAAATAATTATATTTGCATTAATGACGATGATGAGTTAATTCTCCTGACTCATTTGGGCTTTGGCCAAAAATAATATAATTCCACCCACCTGCTCTTCTTCCCCGGTGGATACTCCACTCTTCATGGAGACCTTCATGTGGTAGATCAGGGGTTCATTTGGTGACCCCGACCTGGCTACCTGACTACCTGGGCAAGTCATTGCCTCAGACGCCCAACCGTGGCTCCGGATCTGTTTCAACCTTCACAAACGACCCACCTCTCTCTATCTGCCATTAGCCGGTTGTCTATCAGACGGCTCATTATGATCATGTTATAATAATAATTATTATTATGTGTTAATGCCCGCTCCGATCTTAGATAATTAGGGGGAGAAAAGCCCTCGAAATCAGCCGATCGCATACCCGAGACCGAGCTCTTATTTATTATTATGTATGTGCGGGGGACTTATAAATATTGCACCCTGATTTCAATATTGTCGCGACAATATGCCTCGTGTAATTTGTGCTTCCTCAAAAAAAATTAAAACAATTTTTGTTTGTTCTTGTCATATCTTACTTTTAATTACCAGCATTTTGTTTTGTTTTTACTTTTTATTTTCTTTCCCGTGTCACACTTTGCTCATGTCTCTCGATTTCGATTTCGATTTGTGACTGTGTGTTTTCGTCTTGTTTCGCATTTTAATTATTCTTGATTATTTGTGATTGTTTTGTTGTTGTTTTCCTTTAATTAAAAACGAGAAACAATGGAAATTATTGCCCAAAAGGCCTTATAAACAACAAACCTTTTTCTCAGTTGACGAAAAAGAATATAAATATTGATTGCAAGATTGGCTCAAGGAATTCAAAAAACAAAGGGAGAATATGTATTTTGATGACACTTTGGACCCTAGATATCCAGCCATGCAAATTAGTTATTAGTGATAAATATATAGTATATAAACATTCATCTTTATCGGGCTTATGTCTTTCCTTGCGCAAGAGGTCTGGGGGAGCAATAAAACTCGGCATTTTACAATTTCCAATGTCAATTAAACTTGTAAAGAGAATTAATAGAGCGCACAAGCATCGCTGGAAAATTGTCCAACGGAATGTAAACAAAGGCAATAACAATAATTGGCCATATTCGTTGTACTATATATCGTTGGAATCGGAAACCCACATGGGTCTATTTGTTAAAGTAGCGCGATTTTTCAACTGTTAAGGCAGCACGTTTTTATTGCACGCGATATGGGGGTCTCTGATCGATATACTATATATAAGCTATAGATTCAACCACTCTACAGCAATAAATAAGGCTAACAATAAGCCCAGTATTGCCTTTTTTTTTGCATATGTATACAAATACTTTTAGTCCCCATTGAGCTTGAGCTTCTTTGGGGCAATTTAATCCACTTTAAAGTGGATTTAAGACAGCTTTTGTTGGTCAATGGGCTTTGTTGGTCTAAACCTTAGAGCCAAAATATAGCCAATCATGCCATTCGATTGGCTTGTGTGCTGTTTCTCTGTCTGACCACACATTTATGGATTTTTCCCAGCAAATATCCGATAGCTTGCCTCTCGAAATCGTTAATTAAGACCTGGTCCGAACGGTTCCAAACAGCCTCCCTCCAGTCACAAGGCAGACTCCCTCGGCTCACGTGAATATTTGCACAGTTTGAATACTTTGGCTTTGGGATTCCAATTTAGCTTCTGTTTCAGTCTGTCAATCAGTCAGTCTGTCAGTAAGTCACTGCCAGTTAGTCCAACAATATCTCATAAGGTGCTTAGACTTAGTTGTGCTGCCAAGTCAATGCCTGTCTAATGCCCACACAGTAGTTGCTTAAATACCGCAACAATTTGCGTAAATATTTGAGCAGCTTATATGCATGGGTGCGACTGTATGCAAATGTCATAAATCAAACAGATACACACGGCTTTCCGACCCTAACTTTAGAGCCAGAATTTGTTGAGCAAACTCCTTAAAACAGTGTCACTGCAGATGCAAAATGCATAAGAATTATAGAAGAATTTTCCACTTAAAATGGTATTATTTCTCATAACTTTGCTCTGGCTCTTAAGTGACCAATTCAAGTGTGAATGATGATCTAACCAAAGGCTTTTACTTAACCCCCATTAAATTAAATTAAATTAAAGTCATTGTTTGGTTTACTTTAATATGTAACCCAAGTAAATCAATATAAATCAAGACTTGGGGGTAAATCATCCTCTGACTCACTTAAACCCTCTTAATTGGGCCATAATCTATAATATCTTAACTCTCTTGTGAATTTCTGATTCATTCCCTTAAAAGAAACTCACACCATTCTTGGGTTCAAAGAGTGGAAGTGACTCAGTTTAAGGAGTTGGTAGTCGGCAACCGTCAATTTTGCACTTGAAAATGTCTCAATATCAGATTCTACTGAGGCAAACACACTTCTCGAGTTTTTACTATGTATTTCTCCCTAGTCCAAAACCCACTTGAGCTTATCAAATTAGCACACACAGAAGAAAAGCAACACGAACTCGGGAACCCTTAAAGAAACTGGGTACAATACTTACTCTAAACAAAAATAAATACGTAAAGCGCCAAAGCACGAAAAAGAACGAAGAAAATATAATGGTAACTAGAATTTGTGACAGGCACTTGGGAAATATTATGGCTTATTATATTGTTCATAATCGTACGATTTATGATGGACTGACCAAAGGCTTCCATCAGACCTCATTCGTGGCCCGACATTTTCGGTATCAACACATCTATCTCTTTATTGCCGCTCAATATAAAACCAATTGAGTCGTAATTCATTTTTAGACCTGCCTTCGCCCCAGCCATATATCTCTATATATTTGTTATAGAATTTTATTGTTTAAAAGCGATCTTTTCGTTTGTTTACACTTTGCCATGTGTGTTGTCTTTGGCCCTCTCTAATGTTTAATAATAACAAAACAAGTTCAGGTTGATGTAATCCCAGGGTTCAGTTTATCGATATTTACGGTAAGATTAATAGCCTTACCCGTAAGCTTGACAAAAATTCTTCAAGATAATTAATATTGCAACTAGGTAATACATTTAAATTCGAATGGGGAACCGGACAGCTCAATGTGGTCAGGTGGGTTTTTAATAATGATCAGGTGTGATGCGATGATTGATCAGGAAGGCATATGCTAATTGGCTATAAATGAGATAACTATGGTTGTTACGTTGGAAAGTTTACAGCTTCAATAATGGCATAATGATTGATCAAAGGAAGTCCACCGATTTCCACTTTAACAATATGCGGAAATTAAACCAAGAAATTTTACACATATCATACAGTTCCTAGTTCGTATCAAGCATCTACATATATTTGTTAAATGAAATTCCCTTCTCACTTTGCATTTGCTTAAATCATTTAGCACGCCTTTAAATTACTTGTGCAAATATTTAAGCAAACCAAACAAAAACCTGATAACCGCAAAGGAAGACGTAACCTGGCATTCTTTTCGTAACTATCTTGGAAACAAAGGCTACTAAGTTGAGTTATATTAGGATTTCAGATTCAGATATATTCGGTTCTGACACGGGTTTATCTTCTTATCAGAGTTAGCTACTGGGCTTAGTAGAGTCAGATGTATTTAGATATTTGCAGATTTAAGACTTTAAGATTTGTTTGTATCTTAAAATAAATTAACCAAGTAGAAGGGGTTGAATGGATCTCTTCAGGGATGTTTAAAGCTATAAGAACAAAGGATCTTAATTCATAATATTAAGAAGCAACTTTATGTAATATAAGAAGGTACTCTAACCCCTCTATATCTCTGAGATACTTTACCCCCATATGGTTCAGATACATTCTGGGGTCTATCCCAACTTGGGTTCCACTTGGAATCGCAATTGTTTGTGGATCGGGATCTGTGGATCGCCGGCGTCCGAGAGTGATTACGTGCGTGTGTGCACAAAGTCCAGAGAGTTCTTTTATTGCTCTCGGCTGCTGATTTGATAAATATATATATAAATGCTCATATTAATGTCACACACAAACGCACACCATAATATCCAGAATGATAACATCCCCAAAGCCATTAAACAATGACAGACTGGGACCAGGCCAGCGGAGGAGCCATGGGATAATTCGTGCTTTCCGAGTGTCAGTTGGAAATGAAACTGTCGCGAAGCGAGACATTTGATCCAATCGCTCTGGTCTCCC